AAAGTGAGCCAGCAGGGCACGCCGAGGTTACACTATCGGGTCCGGTCTCGTTAAGGTGAGCCCTAGAAAGTTTCCAGAAAATTCGCGAAAAATGTCTAGAAAACTGCATGAAAGTTCCAGGAAAAGTTCCGGAAAATTTCAGGAAAAACGGAAAATTTCCCGGACTACGTACGGAAGTTTTCAAGGAGCTAAAAATGTGACTAGCCAAAGTGTCTTAAAAGTGTACAAAAAAGTATAGAAAACGTATAAAAAAGTATGCCTAAAGTGCTACCAAATTGTTGGGTCGGTTATAAAGATTCACACTCCAGGTTTAACATCGGGTCGCGGGGAGTGTTATTAGCGGGTTTATTAGGTCAGGTTAGGTTACGAATCGGTTTGGTCAGACGCGGGGTCGGGCCCGTTCGTGTGACGTGACCCTGCGCGCGACGGGGGGGTCAGCAGAGATGGGACGCAGCCGATTGGGTCGCCCAGCCCAGCCCAGCCCCGGGACCGGCCGGGACCAGCTGGATCTTGGAGAGGAGCGAGTACCCGCGCAGGCTTTCGCAACGCGACGCGAGACCCGGTGGGAGGAGCAGGGGCCACACCCCGGGCTCATCTGGGGCCATACCGGCCCGGGCCTCCTGGGCCTGGCCTGGCGAGCCATCTGATATGGACAGCCGCCGCGCCTTCTGCGAAAGGTCCCGGGAGTATTGGTGGTGGTCCATCACCATGCCGCCGGCCCGGCCCTAGAGGCGGGCGTCAGAAGTGGATAGTTATGTCCTGTTTGGAGGGGTCAAGGACAAACCGGAAGACAAGACGGCGCACCACCTGCCGCCGTAGCCTACCTGTCAATGTGTCCATTTCGTTTTATTCTTTGAAAACACCTGTTAATAGCACTTTAGTGTACATTAATAACAAGTTGAAATAAACAAGTATAACAAAATTAGCGCTGAACCAGTCACTGTTTGTTTAATAATCTCCAGCAAAAGCTATTATTCCATTTTCTTTATGGTCTGTCACTCCTTTATGCTTGCAGAACATCTCCGTTGCGGCTGACGGCGCTATAGTACGCCTGAATGAATAGCAGTCGGTACCTCCCGGATGGGGTAGGAGGGTGGAAGCTGCTCCTTGAAGCTGCTGGGGGCATCCGCTAACCACGGCCTGGTGAACAGATCCCCCTCCCATCCACTACACAACACCCCCTCCCCCCCCCTATCACACCCTTTCCCATTTCCGCCGAAAAGTCAACACCTTTAATAACCATAGAGAACGCCGTGCTTTACCTCAGCGCTGGAGATGAAGCTGCTATAAGACAAACCGCGGGGTTTGTCACTTGAAAAATCTGAGTACACGCTGAGAAAAAATCATAAAAAGTCATGAAAAATTCAACGAAAAGTCAGAAAAATCAGGAAAAATCATAAAGAATCCAGAAAAAATCACAAAAAATCAAGAAAAACAGAAAAATTGGTGAACGCTAGAATTTATAGTGAAGGATCCCTTTAGACAAACTGCTCGAAAACGAGACGGAGGTCAATCTGACGTGTTATGACTGAGAGAGTTAATTTTTGTTTGCATATTAGACTCCATACCCATCCAGGCTCTACATGACTGAAATAACGATAAAATTGTTAGTGCCGGTGAAACGCTTTTTTATCAACTTTCTAATAATCCCTTAAACTCTCTTGCACCCCCCTCTTCCCCTCGGCCCCCGGGTCCTCCCCTAACGTCTTTAGAGACGCTATGATTTCCATGGTCTCGTTCCCCCCCTTCCTGGCTACTTTGTTTTTAATGGGCTTGTGAATCAAGCTATTTCTTTCCCTAATGCCAAGAAAGTCGTTTTTCGGTTGCAGTAAAAAAGTGGTATAACCAAACAAGAACATTCTTTTTTTACAGTGGGCGCGAGACGAAGCTATAGCGCTGCCGCCGCTGGGTCAAAAAATGCAGTGTGAGGTGTGTTGCACTGGCGTGCCGAACGCGAAGGGAGAATCATCGCGCAGGAGAGGTGGTGGTAGTGCATCCAAATGCCATGCTAAAGCTTGAGCGAGCGACAGAGAGGGAGAGAGGGAGAGAGACAGTTGAAAAGGTTGCGCGGACCAGGCTCAGGCTGGCCGGCCTGGAGTCAGCTGGTGGAGGTATGGGTGAGCTCGGATTAATTGCAGCAAGTGGTATACGGCCAGGTCGAAACGCCCTACAGGAGTCCGGTTGAAAAGTCTCCGAAAAATTTCGTGGAAAAACGGAAAATTTCCGGGAAAAAATGGAAAATTTTCCTAAAGTTTTCCGTTATTTTCTAGGATTTTTTTTTTGAAATTGTCATCAACATTTTGGAAATTTTTAACCTATAACAGTAAGTGCGTGCGACATTCCTACCTGCTGCAGCTCATATGCAGGGCGTGTGGGTGGAGCCTCTCCAGGAGCAACAAGTGCCGCCTCAACACCCTAATAATCGCGGCACCTGCTGCTGTTGCTCGACCCAGGAGGGAGGGAGGCGACACCTTGCGCTGCCCCCCCCCCCCACCATTTCCCTCTACCCGCAGGGTCGCCCCCTCTTCGCCGGGAGGTTAGGCAGCTCAACTGGCACCCCAAGGACGGGCCCGAGCTCGTCTCCACCGGCGGCGCCAGAGCCGGCTAGAGTAAGAAGGGGGGGGGGGCTCACCCAAGAGAGGCAGTGACGATCATGGGCCTGTTGGGATCCCTTCCCCTTTCTGCACAAATGGTAAGCTGAGTGCTTGTGCAGCTTTCATGATCGCCTCCCCCCTCTGCCCCTGCAAGTTACTGGAGGTCAGCGCCTGCGAGACGCGGGGTAGGCCACCCCGCAGTGCACGCGCGCTCTGCCGGTAAGCTGTTGCCTACCTACCAGGCGCCCTGACAGAGGGCCAAAGGACAATGACGGACAGTTGACGTGAGAAACGACGTAACTTTGTGTAGCCGCTGTTCGGTGCTCTCAGTAGGTGTGTGTTACAGACGAGCAGGCCGCCGACGGCCACGCCACACCAGCAGCAGGGCCTGCAGCACCACATCCACTACCACCTGCAACACCACCTGCAGCACCACCTGCAGCACCATACCTTCAGTACCATACCTGCAGCACCACCTGCAGCACCCCCTGCAGCACCATACCTGCAGCATCACCTGCAGCACCTTGTCGGGCACTACTTGACCCCCTCCCCGTCTCCACCAGCGGCGCGCCCCGGCCGTGGTGGTGCCAATAACAATTACTACTCGTCACTGTTCGTCGTGCGCATAACTGCGGCGGCCCTCCTCACACTGCGATGCATTGCGCAACAGGGAAAGTGTCAATAGCGTCGTCAGAATCTGATTATTCGCAGCCGTCATCCCTCCACTCGACCCTGCGAGCGGCGCGGCGTTGTTCCACATCCTAAGACACACAGTGTGCCACACACGGGGGCAACGCAACAGCGGGGATCCGTTCGGAACGGTATTATTCAACTCGGCAAACGACTGCAAAATGACGTTTGAATGTTCGCATGATTTTTTGGGGGACGCCAAAAGTGGAGTCAAGTCAACGACGCGTGGCATGTGACATTATCAGATCATAAGGACTATTTTTTTCTCCAATTTCACCTTTTTTTTCACTTCCTATCAGAGGAGCAAGTAGTACGATTATTGGGCTTTAAGGTCCTGACTTCAGCTTACCAGACAAACACCTACAGCCAGGAGGATAGTAGTAACATCATGAAGATTTTTTTAACCAGTCAAAAATTAGTGTTTTCTTTGTAATTAATTTACACAAAATTTAAAGAATTTTGTAAAGATCGAGTTATGTATCATAGGTTGATCTGTCTGGCTTGTGTTTTTTTTCTGCCACCCATGAATTTGAGGACGTAGAGTCGAAAGGCCGTCGTGATGGTGCGTGAGCAGTGCATGGCGGTCGTGTATCTGAGGCCACGTCGTTATGGGCTAGAAAAATTAAGATGACTAATGTTTGCCCACGGGCGTTACAACGCTTAAGCCAGCACCATTCATTGCAAATCACAGAT